ATTATTATTTAAAGAAATGGGAGAACCTCCCAGGTGATGCAAGCGGCTTGCAATCGGCTGCCACCCAAAAAGTTGGCAGTTCAAACCCACACAGTGGCTCTACAGAAGAAAGGCCTGGCAATCTGTGTCTGTAACAATTACAGCTAAGAAAATCCTACACAGTTGTCCTCTGTACACCCATGCCCTCTAACACGTGGGTCATAATGAATGAGGGGCCAACTGGACAGTGACTAACAACAACAACAACAACAAAGGGTTCTCCAGGATTGAGGCCCAGAAAGATTGCCCAAGGTCACACAGGAGTCTGAGACATTCAGATGTATATCTGCTCAGAAGGGATTGTGTAACAGTGATTGTAAGAATCACAATAAAGGCAAAAATATTAGCTTGAGAAGTTATTCTGTCCCAAGCATTGTACTGAGCATTTCATATATGTATTAACTCATCCAACCCTTTTACGAGCTTCCTTAAAATGTGGCACAAAATGGTTAAGTGATTCTCATGGTCCCACATCTAGAGAGAAGGCTGTGGAGGTAGAGAGAATGGGATGGTGCTGGAGGAGACAGTTTAGAGAAAGAGGACAGAGGACATCTCCATGGAACTTACTCAGCGACAATGCAGAGTCTTTATGGCCACCCTCCTTCCTCTACAGCCCATGACCAGAGAAGTTAAGCAACCTGACCAAAGTCACACAGCAAATTAGAATCACCTCCTTCTAATATAGCATCCAGATTCTCATATGACACTCATCAAATCCATGCCAACCTCCACTGCCACTGGACATCATGTTTGTCTCTTGATGTTGTTCTGAAAGGTGATGCCACAGCTTCCACAAATGAATGATTAACATTTATTAGAGCCCTTATTTTCTGGAAGAGTCAAAGAGGTCACATGAATACAGCATTGAAGTGCTGTGTGCTATCACCAGGGGGCGACATGGACCTCGAACCCACTTGGGAGTGAAGAACCCGGTTGGCTGAGCTCATACCATATGCAGCAGGCGCTTTTTCTTCACAGCAAGAGATAAAAATTGCACATTTCTACCAGTAAGATATGTCAAGGACTCTAGGAAAGCAGAAATGCAACTACAGAACTCATTAACAATGAAAATATATGCTGTGCGTTGATAACGTGCCAGTCACTGGATTAGAATCCTAGTATGATGGGCAGGTTACTCTGAGCATGTTACTCTGTGTATGTAACTTAATTTCCTGGTGCTTCAGTGTTCTCATCTACCAAATGGGATCAAGCTCAGAGTTGTGAGGGTGGAACTCATTCAGTGGTGAAAGGCCCTAAAACAGCTCCAGGAATGTTAGTTATTACTGCTTACTCTGTGAGCTGGCTACAACTGTATTACTTAGGTGCATTTATAACTCCTTCTTATCCCATGGAATCCCAAGAGAACAAACAGGTCCTTCCTGGAGAAAGTGAACACCAGGATCCTCCTTGGAGGCAAGGATGGTGAAACTTCACCTCACCAACTCTGGGCATGTTGTTAGCAGGGGTCCACCCTTGGACATCGTGCTTGGAAAGGTGGAGGGTCATCATAAGAGGAGATCCTCAATGGCATGGATTGAGACAGTGACTGTAGTAACGGGTTCAAGTGTGTGGGCGGTGGTGAGGATGGCACAGGACAGGGCAGGGTTCAGATCTGCTGTTCATAGGGTTGCAATGAGTTACAGTCAACATGACAGCTCTGAACAACCTGTGACCTCCAGGGACATAGAGGCACAGAGAGATCAAGGAGTATGCTCAAGGTACACAAGGTTCCTCCATTTGGGAATGGTAAAACGCTTAACACGTAAGGCCCGAGTCATAAAACAAGTGACCTCTTAAATGGATCCTATGTTCTTCCCATTTCTAGAAGAAGAAAAAAATTGAGGAAACAGGAAGAGATCACCCAGCTAGACTATGTGTCAGGGAACCAAATCATACCTCTCTATCTTACAGGTTGGCCAGGAGCCTGGGGAAGACCCCTCTGGGCTGTGCAGTCGGGCTGGTCTGGTGAATTGTATCACCCATTACACAAACTTGAGTGCCCACCAGGCACTGTGCTGACACGGGGATCAGGGGGTGAATAAGCCAGCCACAGCCCCTTCCCCAGAGGAAAGGAGGGAAGTTTACGGTGGCTCCATATCCAGAGCAAGCTCCATCACCATTCTCTGCCTCACTTTTCTTATCTTTAAAATGGAAATATTAAACACGTTTTTGTGAGGATTAAATAAAACAATAGGGATGAAGCCCGTAGCACAGTCCCTTGAATAAAGCAAGTGCTCAGTAAGTAAGAATTATTATTCTCATTATCATCAGCAATCACATTGATATAAAGAGGAAAGGTCGAAGAATGTCCACCACCCACCATATATTCAACTTAATCTGAAATACATTCCCTTCAACATTTTGGGGCTCAAATACTAGACCTGGCTCTAGGGTGGCAGAACTACCCAAAGGGGAATCTGCAGATCAAAGGGAGGCAGGATGAAGTGCTGAGAGACTGGACACCCCTCAATTTCTAAAACTACCACCACTACTGTCCTGGTGCATCTGTCCACAGCTCCTCCCTTCCCAATCACCACCCCTGCTGCCCTCACTCACTTCTGTGGGGAGAGCTGAAGGAAGAGGAGAAATAGGAGTACATCCCAGCATCGGGGCTAGAAGCTACAGAGCTGACTCTGTGACGTGTCGTTGTTAGGTGAGCCAATGACACTGAGTCAAGGACAACTCATGGTGACCCCATGTGTACAAAGTGGCCTTGTGTTCTGTAGGGATGGTACAGCTGTGACCTTCAAACCACCAACCTTTCAATTGGTAGCCACACACCTAGCCAGCTGTACCACTCTAGGCCTCCATGACACAGGACAGGTCATCCCAGCTGCCAGGTGAGACGCAAAGGCCTGGAAGCCAGACAAGACTGTAAGGGGATCGAAATGAGACAAAGGGCCTGGCTTAAATCTGAACGTAAGAATCCTGACCCCAGTTTACAAGTTAACAATACCTCTCCTCTCTCAATGATGGGGGTGGGCTGGGTGCAAGTGTCACGGGTGTCAGATATGGAAAACCAAAAGAACCAATCGGTGTCAATTTCAACTCAAAGCAACCTCCCAGGATGCAGCAAGGCTGCCCGACTTGGTTCTTTATCTTTACAGAAGCAGACTGGCACATTTTTCTCTTACTGTGCTTTCAAACCACTGACCATTCAGTTAGCTGCTGAGCATGTAACCATGGCACTCAGGGGTCAGAAGAAGAAAACCAACCCCCGCCCCATCAACCCACCCCTCACCCCCATCTCCATTTGCCAATCCCCAGAGGCAAACCCTTGGAAAGGGGCCTAACCTCCATTGTTCTCCAAAAATCAAAGGACAAAGGAAACACTTCTGTAATTAAGTGTCAGGTTGATGAGTTTGTGCAGTCTGCCAGAAACTCTGGGGGAACCCAGCCCCCAGGGTCCCCAGGGAGCGTGCTAGGACCAGGCAGGCCTGAGGGAGGCAGAGACAAATCAGCTGTCCCTGTCCCCAGAAAGCTCAGGGAGCACTAGTCCACCCACCTACCACTTACTGAAACCCAGGATGGAAATCCAGTCAGGGGAGGGGACTGGGAGAGAGTGGATGATGGGAAAGGAGGGGAGGGGGTGAGGGTAGGAATTCTTCCTGAGATACCCTGGAAGGTGTACAGGGAAGCTGAGAGTCAAATAAGCTTGGAGCAAATGCAAGGAAGTGCTTTCTTGAATACCTACTATGTGCTACACAGTTGATACGTTTTAATTCCTCCAGCAACTCTGAGGGGGGTGAAACTGAATTATAACTGGTTTATCAGAAACCGTGCTCACACTGGGCACACACATTCAGCCAGAGGTGGGCGGGCAGACAATTAAACAATCTTTAGTGAAGTCACTTTTTCAAACAAGTAAAAGCATAATTATAATAGCTACCATTTATACAGCAATTATGGTGTGCTTGTTCCTCCTTTCTCAAGTTCTTCACATGTAAAATGGAGATTATTATCCCTCGGGCCGCTGTGACCCATGAAATGCGTCAGTACGGTTTAAAGGTAGTGCCTGGCGCACAGGAGGCCCTCAATACACGTTTATTATAATCACTTCTCTTGATCTTTTCAAGGTTCCTAGGGGGAGGGGTCCAATTAGAAACTCCATTTTGTAAATGATGAATCTGAGGCTCAACAAAGTTACAATGACTCAGAGGCCCATGGTCTTGAGATTGAGGCGGGGGTGGAGGCTTGGTGTCAGACTGCCAGTGTCTGAATGCTAGCTGCACCACTGACTAGCTGTGTGAACTTAAAAGTTACTTCAAGCCTCTACATCTTGGGCTTCCTACCTGTAAAATGAGGATGAGGGAGCTCTGGTGGCCTCGTGGCAAGGAGCTGCACTGCAATTCCGAAGCTGCGCGGTTCAAATCCACCAGGTGCTCCGCTGGAGACAGAGAGGCAATATCCTCCTGTGCCAGTCTGATCAGACTCAACGGTATACACAACAAGGAAAAAAGAAAGAAAGAAAAACCAGGGTCGAGAATAGTAAGTCCTCTTTCACCAAGTGGTGAAAGAAGTCTGGTGGCACGAAAGCGCATCTTGTTGCCCACAGAGGATTTGAACTCAAGAATTCTAAGCGAAGAACTATATATTACATGTCGGTAGCCAATGTCTTTTCTTCCAAGACTGCCCCAAGGACCCAGGGTTAGTGGTGCATGGTGTTCCATTGTGTGAATGTACCACAATTTCTCAATCCATTCATTTGTTGATGGGCATTTGGGCTGATTTCATTTTCTTGCTGTTTTAACACTGCTATGAATATAGGTGTATAGATGTCCACTGTGTCTCAGTTCTCATTTCCTTGGGATAAAGTCCTAGCAGTGGAATAGCTGGGTCTTACAGGATTTCTATGTTGAACTTGTTTAAAAAGAACACAGAGTTAGCGGTAGTGGGTAGGGGCTGTCCCAAGGAGGAAGGGCTCATAGGCGTCTAAGTCCCTTCTACCCCTTCTCCTCCAGGTTATGCCCCTCACTGCCTGCCCCCGAGCAGCTACGATGCAGACCAGAAGCCCGGCCTGGAGCTGGCGCCTGCCGAGCCCGCGTACCCGCCGGCGGCGCCAGAAGAGTACAGCGACCCCGAGAGCCCGCAGTCAAGTCTCTCGGCGCGCTACTTCCGTGGGGAGGCGGCCGTGACCGACAGCTACTCCATGGACGCCTTCTTCATCTCGGACGGGCGCTCGCGGAGACGGCGGAGCGCAGGTCCCGGAGACGCCGGGAGCGCAGGGGACGCCGACGGAGCCGGAGGGCGCGGGGGCCGCGCGGGGGCTCCGGCGGGCGGCGGGCACCGGCACGCGTGCGCCGAGTGCGGCAAGACCTACGCCACGTCGTCGAACCTGAGCCGCCACAAGCAGACGCACCGCAGCCTGGACAGCCAGCTGGCGCGCAAGTGCCCAACGTGCGGCAAGGCGTACGTGTCCATGCCCGCGCTGGCCATGCACGTGCTCACGCACAACCTGCGCCACAAGTGCGGCGTGTGCGGCAAGGCCTTCTCGCGGCCCTGGCTGCTGCAGGGCCACATGCGCTCGCACACGGGCGAGAAGCCCTTTGGCTGCGCGCACTGCGGCAAAGCCTTCGCCGACCGCTCCAACCTGCGCGCGCATATGCAGACGCACTCGGCTTTCAAGCACTTCCAGTGCAAGCGCTGCAAGAAGAGTTTCGCGCTCAAATCTTATCTCAACAAGCACTACGAGTCGGCCTGCTTTAAGGGCAGCGCCGGCGGCGGCCCTGCAGCCCCTGCGCCCGCCGCGCCCCCGCAGCTCAGCCCAGTGCAGGCCTAGGGCGGCGAGACCTTCGCCAGCCTGGTCGGCTCTCAGCAATATGGGCCCCCAGAGAAGTCTCAGGCGGAGCCCGGGCGGAGGGGCCGGAGGGCGGGCCCCTCCTCACAGCAATAGGGAGAGGGGCTCGACCCCGCCCCGTCTCGCCCGCCAGGGGCCTGGTCGGCCCCTTCAAGCAATAGGGTCCCGCAGGGAGACCCACCCCGAGCCCCGCCCCTCTCCTCCAGGGTGCCCCAGGCTTTCTCCCAGCAATAGGGTCACAGAGACCCAGTACCGACCTCATCTCTGGAGTTAGATCTCTGAAGACGGGTGAGGTGAGGAAGGCGCCCTCCTCCTCCTCCTCCTCCTGCGTCTTGCGCGTGTCACAGAGACTCAGGACTTCCTCAGCCTCCCCACGCCTTCCAGGGACAGGCCTGGGCCCCGACGGCCAAGCAGCCGATCCGCAGGGGGCGGACGAGGAGGGTCTGCGGGCCTGTAGAGACGGTCCTGCCTGGAAGTCCGCGAAGCTCTGGGAGGGTTAAGAGGAGTGGGCTGGACGGTGGCACCCTCTCCCTTGGGTCCCTTCTGGGGCCTCATCCGGGCCGCCTTCCTACCCTTGCCTCGCACCGCTGCCAAATCCGGATTCTTCCAGCCCAGCCCCCCAGGCCCTGTCCTCCATAAGGAACACTAATGACGCAGATCGGATCGCATGTACTTAGACCCCGCTCCCACCCTGCCCCGGGGCCCCTCCCTCGCACCGGGCATTCAGTGTTGGAGGGCAGATACGCGGGGCCGCAGGCAGGCCTGGGCACTGCTCTCCCCACACCTCTCTGTATTCGCTTTGCGGGTAAGCCCCCGGGGTGTGTGTGTGTGTGTGTGTGTGTGTGTACGCGTCGAGGTTTTATTTTCTGTATTTATTCGTTTTTTTTTTTCTGAACGGATTGCACTCGGGTCAGGGGGGGCACTGGGCCCCTCATCCTTCCCCCGACGCCAGGGGTTTGGGATTCCAGTATCACTGTCCCTTCCCAAGCCCCACCCCCGCCTGGGCCCGCCTCTCAGGGGCCGCCCTCGCCTCCGAGCTGCAGGCCCGGCCCCCACTCGGTTGCCAACTTTCGCCCGTCTATGCCAAAGCCTCGGCGGTGACCCCGCCCCATTGGCCGCCTTGTGACGTCACTGCATGCAGCCCCGCCCCCTCCCGTCCCTTCCTGGGGCTGCCCGCTCCCCTGTCCCTTAGTTAGCCCCAAGCCCACTATAGAGCAATAATGCGCACTGCATGCGAAGCTGCCGCCGCCTCTAGTTACTGAGAATCAGGTATCCCCACCCTACCCGCCCATAGGCCTCGAGATCAGGGACGCTGCGCGGGGCCACCTCCCCTCCCCCCCACGACAGAGCCCCGCGGGTGCAGTGGTCCCCGGCGGGGAGGGGAGGGCGCAGTTGCACCTCAGACCCTCCTTCACTCGTCCATCACTCACCCACCTTCATTGGCGCCTACTGCGTACCAGTCCAGTTGCTGGTGAGGCAAAGAGGCCCGGGGTCCTGTCCCGACGGGACCTCCGCCATTGCAGCTCGACGACGGGCGTGGATGTGCGGAGGAGGACCCCAGGCAGCGTCCACTCTCCACCCTTACCGGAGTGTGTGGGTGCAGCCAGGCTCCACTTCGGACCTGGGCTCTGGGTTCAGCTCCTGAGAGGAAGACCAAGGAACCCAGGTGCCAGCGCCTCTGGTCCTCCTCACCAAAGGCCAGTCTTCTGATCCGGGCGACTGCTAAAGAGGGTAACAGGAGCTTATTGGCCAGCCCACTCCCCCCTCCCCAGCCTCGTCCCGGCAACTGGCAGGGACTGAGTAGGGTGCAGGCCCGCGGTGCGTACACACACCCCACACAGCCCAGGCTGAGCCTGCTGTCCAGAGGGGCCTGCCGTCCAGCCGGGCGCTCCTGCATGTACACGCACACACAGGCGCCCCTGCCCCACCCCACACGCCTACCTAAGGAGAAGGCCGGAGGGCCGTGGGCTGGCCAGGGTCTCCCCTTCCCCCACCCCGCCGCCGTGGAAAGCCATGGGCCCCCTCCCGCCCCCATAACTAAGCAGCACAATAACCGACCTAGCGAATTCAGGTAGAAGGAACGTTTAGGTAGCACCTACTTTGTACTGATTCTATGTGTAGGGCCCGAGGTGTGGGGACCCTCGGGTGGGGGTCGCGGCCGCCGGCCTGCCCCGCCCCCATCTCGCCTGCGCCCCGCCGCCTTGTACATACTCCCACCCGGAACAGGCCGGGATTTTTACTCGGGCCGCGCCCCCTCTTCCGCCCCCATTTGGGGCGGGGCCGGCCGGACAGACGGACGGACGGACAGACCTCCTTCCTAAGCACAATAGCACCAGCTCCCCGGAGCGCCGCACCTCCACGAGGAGAATAAATGCCACTCTTGATAGAACTGGTGTGTGGCGTCCATGTTTGCAGGGCGGGGCGGCTCCTCTCTTCTGAAGAGTTTGGGGTGGCACAAGGTGTGAGGGAGCTGGCGCCCAGCTGCCATTCAGTGACCTTTCGCAAGGGGGTGCCTTGTTTCCTGTCTGAAGGGACCAGCTGTCACCTTAAGGCAATCCACTCCCAGTATTTCTCTGTTGGTGGCAGTGAAGTTCCCTTCATCCCCTCTGGAATGAGATGGTACCAGGGCAAATCTTGCTGGGATTCCGCACATCTCCACAGGGTGCCACACGTTTTCACCCGTGGGCAAGCTGGCCAGTTCCCTTGGGTGAGCTACAAACACGTCATTTACACTGCTAGGTCCCACCTGGTGGGCTCTGATTCCAAATGACCCTCACACATCCACTGCTGCCGTCACCGTGTTACTTCATCTTGTGGACGGTCTTCCTCTCTGTTGGTGACCTTCCATTTTTCCAAGCATGATGTCCTTCTCTAGGAAATGGTCCTCCTGACAACATGCCCAAACGATGTGGGACACAGAGTTCCATCTAATCATTCGGCATATGCCACAAGACCATGGCTAGAAAGGCCATATATAAAAGCAGCCCATTCTACCACACAGGTCAGACTATGTCATCCATATGCCCAGGGTCACTACGGCCACTAGGACCCTGGCAGGGGCAGGGGCCACACACCTCACAGGTCCTCCAGACTCTGGAGAAGCCAATGGCAGAAGAGCTACAGACCAGAGGCTGGAGAGGCCAATGAGGGCAGCAGCAGACACAGGGTGGAGGTGAACTGATTCCTTTGTTTGAGCTTAAGCTCTCCCACTCAGAGACCCTGCCCAGCCTGGCAATGTGTGCAGGTGTAGAGGGTGACCCTACATCGGGGGAACACCAAGGGGCCATATGTACCCACCATGGCCAGACTACAGGAATGGTTTTGCCCATCTCTGCAATCCCCTGGGACCTACTGCCCTCCCCTTCTTGCACCCAGGTTAGGTAGGTGTCATTTACTCTACTGGAAGGTTTAGAATCTGGGCCTCAGGGAACTGAATAGCTTCCAAGGTCACGTCCAGGGCTGCTTTTGACATACACCTGTCCCAATAGCCTCCCTCTACCAGAATCACACGTGGACAAGAGCTGGTCATAGGGATGTGGCTCTGGGAACCCACTCCTTGCCCCCAGGAGGCCTCAACTGGAGTATCCCAACTCAAATGCAAGATTCAGCTTCCTCATGACAGGTGGGATAGACGTGATCTCTTGAAGGCCTGCTGTAGGCTCTCAGAGCACCCTGCCCCTCAAGAACCCAACCTTCCTACAGCACTGATGACACAGGCCCTCACCATTACCCTCCATTGAGCTCTGGCTTGCTGGCCACACCCCTCACAGGCCTCTTTGGCCTCCAGCCCTCTGTCCCAGGGGCAGCTTCAGGACCTTGCCAGGGTCAAAAGCACCCTGCCAGGCTTCAAGGCTCTCACACCTACACAAGGAGTAGCTGGACACACTGTCTCCTGTCATACAGTTTTTGCCCTTTCCTCTAGTATACTGGGGTCATTCAGGTGACCTCTTTGAGGGCACCCACATTCCAGGTGCTCTCTTGCTCCCTTTACCACCTCCGGCTGCTCATCCCCGGCCAGGCCTATTCTCTCCATTGGCTAAGGTGGTCCACCTCTAGGGTTTACTGGGAGGCAATCTTCTCCTGCCCCCATCACCCTGAATTCTTCAGTTGGCTTTGAGTGTAAACATGGGGACATGTGCAAGTATGAACATGAACATGCATGGTGGCCTTGTGTTGTGCCTTGGGGATGGATGCAAAAGGGGATTAGCCAGGCCCATGTGCCCATCCAAGGCTTCAGACAATCTCCCTTGGAAATCAGTTCTCAGGAAGACCCAGTCTGCTGGCAGTAGCCTTGGATAGGGCAAAGGAAAGGACAGACTGGATACGAACTTAGTTTTGTCCAGACTGACCCTGACCACGGCCAGCCACTCTAGGCTCTAGTGGGAAGGGCTGTCTATTCTCTGATCATATCGGGGTAGCCACCTCACCAGTTACATGTCAGATACCCACATGAAGTGTGGTCCAGCCTGCCAAGATGGACATCAGCAGTGCGTGTGAGTAGGGGTGGGGTGCCTGGAAGGTGGAGGTGGTGGGGTAGTGCTGTGAGCAGCAGGAGGGGTGCAGAGATTGGAAGGACAGGTCACTGACCTCAAGTAAAGCCTCCACGTGTCTTCATCCAGGGAGTGCTTGTGGTATCCTGCCCCTTACCCCCAAGGGAGTGAATGCCATCAGCTTCTGGATAATTCTTGTATAAACCAGGCCCCAGAACCAGAGTACTTTGCATGTATGTTTTGTGTAAGCCAAATCCACGTACAAAAGCATAACACATTATCCCTAATCCTGCTCCGTCCGCACAATCAGAATGTTTTCTTTTTCTCATACTACTATTTTATTGTTGTTGTTGGAGAGAAAGCGATGCTACCAAGCCAAAGGTGGGTGACTTTTAATTCATGGCCCTCAGGCCTGTGTTTCATTGATTGTTGTTGTTCAATAATTCTTCTAGGTCGTATAGCCCTGGTGTGTCCACTTGCCATACAGAGGTAACTTGTGGATGCTATGAAGCTGAACACTGTGACACTGATGTGTCAAATGCGTTAATGGTTGATTACCCATGGTGGACAGTGTTTGGTGGAGCTCCCCGATTAAAACAAGCTTGGAAGCAGGAGTGGCATCCACTTCCGTAATAGCTTGCCTCCAGAAACCCTATGAACCTGGAGAAAGGATGAAAGTCACACAAATGTTGAGGACTTTCATTGACAGGGTTGCTATGAGTCTCCTACGACTCAATGGCACTTAACAACAACTAGAATTTTATTATTTTGTTTTTAAATATATCTTTTATTTTATACTGCTTTACTTAACAAGTTTGTATGCATTGTTTTTCACGTTGGATCTCGCCCCAATTCCTTTACCCATCCTGCCCCTCACCATCAGTGCCCCTCTCATTGAGGCTCATTTTCTTTTCTGAGGACTCTCTACCCTGCATGATGTCCTCCAGGATTGTGCTGTTGTGTACTGTAGACTTGGAACAGATCCATAGCTGACCCTCTGGTGGGATTTCAAAGGCAGTTAATCGCATGGTAGGAGAGTGTCCATCTTTCTCCTATGGAGCAGCTGGTGGTCTCGGACGGCGTTCCTTAGGGATAGCAGCACATGTTCTTGTCCCTAGGTCACAAGAGCTTCCCTGTCCTCCAGGACTAGTACCTCTTTATAAATTAAACATGCCCGAAATATGTGAGCCAAGGAAGCATTCAGAAAACTTTAGAGGGATTTTGCATGAGGTTTCTGGGGGTGCCCAGCCAGGGCCAAGCGAAGGCCACAGAGTCACTGGTAGGGTTGCCTCTGTTCAGATGGCTCCAGCTTAACTCCAATCACGCACACAGGCAGCAAAACGCAGGCTTACCTGAGGCCTGGGACAAGGTAAAAAGCCTGGGACTGCTCTTCAGCCCAAGCGTTGCATGATTTGGGCAGCCTGTGTGGGACAAGTGGCCCAGAGCCGCCTGAAAGCTGGCACATTTGCCCCATTCCCAGTTAGACCTGCTGGCTGGGGCTTGGCCAACTTGATATGGTGGACGGCCAGAGTCCTCTGTGATGCGAGACCTGAACGTTTTTCTTGCACAATCTTCTGACCTAGGCCCCTGTCAGTCTCTTTAAGCTGGAGAAAAATAGATTTCTCCCATGTTAAATGGAAGATGGGGCTGATGTAACACGAGTGTCCTATTTCCACGTACACGCTGCTGGGTCAGTTGCGAGACCACCCAGCACTGCCCTCCTCGGCTGAAGCGTGACCTGGCGGCGCCCGCGCACTCGCTGCCCTGGGCGTCCAGTGGCAGCACCCAGGTGTTTCATTAACCTAGATCCCAAAACCCACTCTCCAGGGCTGCGGGCAATGAAGAAATGGTTACAGAAATGGGACAAGGGGCAGGCCAGCGGGTCAGGGAAGCGCAGCGCGCTAGGAAGACGAAGCTGGTGCACCTGCTCCGCCGAGCTGGGCAGAGCTCGCCTAACATCCTACACGGAGACCTGAGTGGGAGTCCCCCGAGGACCACCGGGATGCAGGACGCGCGTCCCCCGGCAAGCCCCCAGCTGCGCCCCGCGGCGCGACTACCGCTCCCAGGGCGCCGCGCGCCGCCCGCCTCCTCCCCTCAGGTTCCGCCCCAGCCATGTCTAACCGGCCAGAAATGGACGTGTCCGCCGGGGCGGCCACAGCGCGGGGAGGTCGGTGGTACGCACTTGGGGGGGCGGGGCCGCAGAACTGCGTGGGGATTGGTCGGTAGCACGTGTGCGTGCGGGGCGGGGCCGAGCGAGGGAGTGGGGATTGGTCGGTAGGCGCCTGCGGGGCGGGGCGGGCCACGCCGCCGGTTGCTCTTTGGCGTGAAGGACGCATGCGGGGTGGGCGGAGCGGCAGCGTGCAGATTGGCCGGGCGCGAGGGCGGGCTACGGTGGCCGTCAGGGGGCGGCGGCGGCCGTTGACGGCGGTGCGGAGGCGGGGCCGCGGCCTCGAGCGCGGCGACCCTGGCGGGCAGCGGCACTT